AGTTCCAGGTGCTAGTTGACAACCACTTATCTACAAGTTATAATTACTTGACTATTTATCCATCTAATGGGAATTAATTGCTATCTAGTTATAGACAAATTAGCTAGTTATTCACTACATACACATGTTAACCATAATTTATCACCATCACTAGTTAATGGCAATTAGTTAATGTTAAACAGTTATCCATGAGTACTTTATAACTAGTTGCCATCATTAGTTAATGCCTATTGAGTGATGACTAATCACATGTAGCTAGTTATCCATTACTAAGCAACAACTAGTTAGTGGCAACTAGCCCTTCACTACTAGTTATGCATATAGTTAATAACAACTGGTTAGACATCTCTAGTCACAATAGCCCACAACTAATTACATAGCACTAGTTAGCCACTAGTAACAACTAGCTACCCATTGCCAGGTAACTACCACTGGTTTGTACTTACTAGCTACTTAGAACTTCTTACCTACCATTAATTTGTTGATCATTGTAATAATTTTTTAAGTGGAATGAATCATACTATATTTAAGAAGTAATTATTCAAATTCAAGCACTAACTAGATTCCATACATTTATAGACACTATTACTAAAAAGAACCATCGCATTGATTAGATCTGTTTCTACCACCAGGGGTACTAAACTAGTGAGTCCGTAGGCATTGAGATGTGAATTTATATCCCCATTGTGAACATGTCCATTGCCCCAACACTATGACTGGAGTCATGGGTGGAGTGTAGTCAGAGAGTGGGAACTCATCCTTGATGTCTATCCCCCTCACATCCCTTTTAACCCATCTTTCCCTAAAAACTTTGTTTCCATTTTATCCTTCTTTTCTCATTTTTCTTTTCCCTTCCTTCCTTTCCCCTCTCCCTCTATTTGAACAATTTTTCCCATTTCACCATAGCTCTTGTTCATACAATTTGGTTCTGATTTACACTTTCAGTTTCTCACACCAGTAAGACAATGCAGTATTTACAACTGAAAGCTTTCACTCTAAAAATCAGGAACAAGTCAAGGATATCCATCCGCTATTACCATTGCTATCTGGAAACATTAGCCAGAAGAATTAGACAAGAAAGAGAAATAAAATGAATAATGATAGAAAAGAAAAAAGTTAAATTACATTATTTGCAGATGACATGATACTCTACATAGAAGACCCCAATAACTCTACCAAAAGACTTACAGATTTATTAACCAAATTGAGTCTTATAAATGACTACAACAACACTCAAAAATCATTAGCATCCCTCTACACAAATAACAAACTCACTGAGGGGGAAATTAGGGAAACAACACCTACTACTGGGAATTGAATCCAGGGTGTTCACACTGAATTACCCCACCTTACCCTGTTCCTTAAATTTTTCTTTTTTTGTTGGTGGTGTTGTTTAAAATTCCTTTTTACTTTGAAACAGGGTCTTACTAAGCTATTGGGACTGGAGTCGAACTTGTAGGCCTCCTGCTTCAACTTCCCAGATGGTTGGGGTTACAGTGTGCTGCCGTACCCACCTCGGCATCTTTCTTAAATTTCTGAAATATAGGAAGTTGCCCAGCTCACACTACTCCAGCAGCCATGGTCTGCTACAGGGCACTGAGTCAGGAAGCCACCGGGGGCCACTGGTGATAGGGGTTGGGGACAAGAACTAGTGTCCTTTTACCCGTCATGAGACGCAGTGGATGCGGATAGATGGCGTTTCTCTAGAAAGCTGTGGTGACCCTGAAAGGAGGCATTGAATTTGTACAGGCAGCAACTCAAAGCGTTTATTAGATTCTTTCTTGTTCATAGTTCTGAGTTTTATGGGTGTCTGAGGCGGGGGAAAAATATGGAAAAACTGTTAAAAGCTGGGGCTCAGCCATCAGAGCTTCCTGGAAGCTATGTACCACAGAGGACTCTGAAACACACAAACAGAAAAGCCTTGTGGGTCCCAGGCTGAGAGAAACATTTGCTTAGGAGCAGGTAAGCTCCCTCTGGGTCGACTGGTCAGCTGTGATAAAACCTGCAAGAGGTTCAAGGAACTCCAAGGAAGATAAACCCCAAGTGATCTGGAACAACAGGTCACAATCCAATTGTTGAAGGACAGAATTCTGAAAGGAAAAAGAAGGAAGCAGCTCACTATGAACATAAGATCATCAATAACATGAGTATTGACTTCTAACCAGAAACCTAAGAGGCCAGAGAGCAGGGCACGGCACTGCCCTCTGAAGTAGCTGCAGGATGCGTTCAGGAGGGGCTGGGGGTGGGGGCTTCTGGGCTCCACCTTAGTGGGCCCTGGGGACTAGTGAGGTCAGAACAACCCTGCTGTCACCAGATACCCAGAATTTAACTTGTTGGGGTCAGGACAGAACCCAGGAGTCTGGATGGACAGCAGAGGGACAGGTGTGGGTCTCAAGGTTCACTTAGAGCAGTTTCCTGACAGGAGAGGTCCCCTCCAGCAATCTTGGGCACCCCTGAGAACCGGGGCTGTTGGAGCTGAATATGTGTGTGTGTGTGTGTGTGTGTGTGTGTGTGTGTGTGTGTCTGTCTGTCTGTCTGTCTGTCTGTCTGTCTGTCTGTGTCGTGCATGTGAGTAGATATGGTCGGGCTACATCTTGCATATGGTTGAATGCCCCCTCCCCACCACTCTACATAATAGACTTTGTAGGCTCCCATGGAAGCCTTCTCCCTTGCAATGGGATTAAAAAGTTGCTGAAGGCTTCTCAGGATATAGTTAACTAAAAGATCCAGGCGTGTGCCAGTGAGTACCCATGAGTACTTATTGGCAGGGATCCTGGTATTCCCCATTCCAGTTTACATTCATGCCAGCTCCCACAGAAAAAGTCTTTGGCAAAATCCAATGTTCATTTATAATAAAAACTCTGAAGAAAATCGGTCCAAAAGGATGTTATTTGATACTGCCAGCATCATCATATTAAATGAGGAAAAGCTAAAATATTTTCCAAGATCAAGACAAAAATACTATCACCACTCCTGCCACTGTACTTGAAATATTACAGCAACTAGGCTGACAGGCTCTGGCCCCAGTAGGAATTGCTGAAATCATCATGGTGGTCATCGAATATGGCTGAAGCCCTTAAAACAAAAGCCCATCTTCCCAGGACCACCCCCCACTTCTCCAGCTCAGTCTAGGATACAATTTCCTTCCACTCTTCCCGCTGCCTCAGGAAGCCCCCAATCAGTTTCCTCAGGTATACGTAACCTCTCCCCTCAAACACCCCCCCTGCAAAAGGCCATAGAAACCCCAGCCTCTCTTTGCTCCAATAGAGAGAATTTCTTATCTTCCCCAAATTCTCTCCATGTCCTCAAAAAGAAGAAATCCCCTTTCTGTCCTTCCTTTTGCCAGTTTCTCTGCTGCACCGGGCACCTGAAAAAAGCTACCACAGGCAAGAGAAAGAAATTAAAAGGGATATGTATGGGCTGGGAAGAAGTCAAATTATCATTATTTGCACATGATCCTTTACATAAAAGATCCAAAATTTCTACTAGAAGACACCTAGAATTAGTGCTTCTGAGGGCGTCCTCACCCATTTCCAGTCCTAGAAGTTTCTGAGCGGATTAAAGACCATTTCTAGAGGCTTTGAGAAGGTGGACTGACTGCATGGTGGTGGATTACTAATGGGCAACTTGTAACACCCAGCTGAACTGAATCAGTGCGGTGCTGGGTGTGGAAGGCCCACCTGAGGATTGTTGCCAACAGCATAAAAGGACAGTGGGGAAGATGGTGTGCTGTTAACTCTCCTGGAGAAACTTCTCTTGCTGGCTTTACTGATATGAACTCAGCTGTTCTTATCCTAGGAGGAGCGCAGGTCCTCGCTGCCACTGAGGATGGCTGCAGTTTTTTTCAGAGGAGCTCTGGTCCTTGCTTTGACAATGAGATCCCCCAGTCTACTGGTGCAGATCCTTCATCCCATCGGCACAGACTTTCTAGTTTCTACTATAGAAATATAGGTATGAGACAGAAGTCAAATGTCCCGCAACAGCAAAGAGCAATAAACAGAGCCCGAGGAGAACCGTCGTCTCTCTTGTAACTTCCAGCAAGCTGGGATGGATACAAAGCTGCAGATAGCCGCTTTTCCTGCTGGTACCCTGTCTGTTCTTTGATCCGTTGCTTGGGATGTTACAGCCAGCATTGTAAACTTAGAGTAGGGTAAATGCCTGAAGGCAATAGAGTAGTTTGTGTTCATAAAAGTACTTATGCACATTCCTTAGCCTGCCTTTAGCCTTCAATAAATATGAAAGGGACTAAAGCACCTTCTTAGGCAGGTGCTGCTGCAGGGGTTCCATGCCTGAGGTGCCGGCTGGCCCTGTCCACCAGGCGCGCTGAGACTGCAATCCCAGCACTTGGGAGGCTGAAAACAAGATAATCACTAAAAGTCCGATCTACGTAGTGAGACCCTGTAGACCCTGTACTAAAATACTAAATAAATAAATCAATAAATAAATGAATGTGAAAGTTTTCGGTGGCTCGGGGCTCACTTAGAGAGACTAATCTCAATGAGACCTTTGAAGCTACATTGATCCAGTCTTCCCCTCGTTTCTTTCGGCTCCGATTTATACCATACAGCATTCTATCATTGACCTTTGGGACTTCCCCGTGCAGAGCCTTGAAAGAGACTTACACGAGACATTGTTGTGGGCTCTTGGTCTCCAATTGGACTTGTGGAGGATGTTGCTATAGGCTCTAGGTCTTCAGCTGGACTTGGGCAGGACATTGCCGAGAGATCCAGGCCCTCAGCTGGATTCTTCTGCTCTCTTGTGTGTGGAAAGCTCTCCCACACTTCTTTGCATTTGACTCTTTGAGTGAATGTTATAAAATAATCCCACAAATTGTATGTCCTGTTTTAAATCTTTTCCCCTCTAAACCAGGACTAAAACAAATTCTGGAGAGTGGGGGGTGGGGCCCCTCAGTCCACCCTGGTGGACTACAAGTCCCAGAAGCCCTTGCGGGCCCCAGGGACCTCTGGGCTCACAAATAAACTCAAAGCGCCTGAGGTGCTGGGGGTGTTCGTTTTTTCCCCCCCCTTTCCGTTGGGGGGGGCTCCTCCTCAGCTCACTCGGCAGCTTCAATCACTGGTAGCCGTCCTCCAGGTAAAAGGCGACCCAGATTGTCACCCTGAGTGCGCGAGACGTGGGGCTGCGGCTTCGGCCTGCTCAGTGCCTTAAGGCGTCCCGCGCTTGGGTCTGGGTCGGGTGGGGTTCCCCGGCCCCGCGTTTTCTGTCAGGAAGGCTGCGGAAGGAGGGCCAGGCTCTGATGCCTAGAGAAGGGCGGAGGAGGCTCCCCGAGCTCAGCAGGCCGCCAGCCCCGCGGGGACCCTGGTGGTCCCGCTGTCACAGCCTCGGGCCGGGCTTCCCGGCTCCAGGGTGCCAGGGCCGCTCAGCAGATGTCGGGGAAGGTGGAGTGAGTGGCAAATATTTGTCACCGTGAGAGCCTAGGACGCCAGAGCCACCGGGGCACTGTTTGGGCACAGCACTCCGAAGTCCTGGTTTGAAAGTGATGGATTGCAGGCAGAAAAGCTGTGTTCACTAAGACCCTCAGGTGCTTCTCCGGCTGGCCTGGAAGTGAGGACCTCTGTCCCAGGGCGAGGAGGGTGGGCACCGGGGCAAGGGGCGTGATGCGGGCAGGCAGTGTCTGGCAAATGGGGCTTCTCTCCTTGGCGCCTTGCTCCATGTCTGTCTTTCGTTGATGCTTGTTTGTGAGGAAAGGATGACAGCTCTGCTTGTCTTCTGCCCTCCCAGGAAAAGGTGTCGCTGGCCATCCCCAAAGTACACTCCTCCACCCGTTTTATTCAGAGCAATTAAAACATCTGGAAACTTACAGTGACTGAACAGGAATTTTGCAGTGAATGCTGACAGACCCCAGCTGGAATGTACACTCAACAGTTACTGTACTTTGTCACAGTTCTGTCCACCCACCATACCAGCGTTGTGGCCTTACTGGGAGAGCACAGGCATGGCTTGTGTGATACTTCAGGGACAGACTGTTTGGAGAGAGAGTAAACGGAATGGGCTTGCAGGCCAGTTAGTTGTAGTAACTGAAGTGCGTCCTCAGCCCACCTTCTCAGTGTCATTTCTTTATATTTTACATTTGCCCAGTTGGAACGTGCTGGTTTTGTGTGCAATTTCTTTGCTTAGGGAAACAAGATTGCATAGCACAGTTGGCGGTCACGGTGCTGATTAATTCCTTGTTTCTTTGACTCCCAGAGTGTACTTGCTTTCTTCCATTGCTACTAGACACCCTATTTAGTTGTCTGAAAGGGAGAGGAGACAGGCTGTGCAGAAATTCATCCCCACTGTCAGAAAACTGTTCAAAGCTCCAGAATGTGCTTTTACTGTCATTTTGGTAGTATTAGGTCATTTTTTTCATAAATGGTTCGTATCACCTTTGTGGGGTTCCTGATTTGTGGGTGCTGTGAGCCCTGCTTTGTGTGTCCATGGGGATCCGTGCCCTGCATTGTACCCACAAGGAGATGTCATAACGGTTCAGCACAAACTGTGAGTGCGCTTGATGGGAATGTGTTCGGTACATGTTCATGCCACCTGAGTGTAAACCGAGTCCCTGTATTTGGGTTTCTCTTTCAAGGAGAAACAGGCCAGGGCAGGTGGAAGTGAAGCAGAAAGTAAGAATTGCAGTGGGTGGCACTGGACAATTCTATCCTCTCTGATTTCAAAAAGAAAGTGAACTGGGTTAAAAAGAAAAGCTCCAAGCTGGGGAGATAGCTCAGCAACACAAGTGCCTTCCGCAAGGTCCTGAATGTGATTACCCAGTACCTGCTACCCCACCCCCACCCCCATCCCCATCCTGGCAACAAAAAAAAAAAAGGCACTAGAACAAGAGCTCCACCAACTGGGGAGACAGGAATAAAGCCCACACTAATTTGAGCCTGTTTGGCCAATTCTCACCTGTCCTCCAGGGACAGGATAGTTGTCCCCCAGTTGAGAGTGAAGCCAAGCTAAGTGACTCACCCATGGCTGCCAAATCATTCACAGTAGGCTGCATACCCAGCTGTCCTGAAATAATAGGAGTTGGAGGGAGAAAGGCTCGCTGCCCAACTCAAACAAGAGTCTTTTCTGTCTGGATTTTTGGCCATAAACAAGGGCTCTTTCATGAGAAAGCCAAGGACTGTCCCCTTATGATGGCCATGTTCTGACCAAGGGGCTATGGAAGTGGACTTTGGGTTAGGAGTAGCACAGGAAGTTTCCTAAAGTTAATGCCAGCCCTCCCACATTGGCAGTGTGTATATAGTTCAGGTGGGACCAGAGCAGGCAATGTTAGGGCTGGCCCAAGAGTCAGAGGCCAGACCTTTCTTCTAAAATGTTGACCATTAATTAGATGAGATAGTGGATCTGAGAGCTTTTTGAGCCTTTAACTAGGACCTGTGACTAGTTAAGGCTTAAGAGGAAGGGAAAAGTCTGGGATACCTCTGGGCCTCCAGTTTGGTGAGTGAGCAGTGCAGAACTAAAAAGCAGCTGGTAGGGTGGGGAACTGCACTGAGATGCTTGTCCTCCAGGGCAGCCCATATTTCAGTGCTGCTTGGTTCTGTGGAGAAATTGGTCCCAAACATGACCTGTGGGCCTGGCAGGGGTGCTGAGTCTGTGAGCACAAACTGCTAATTCCTTGTGACTTGAGTGACCACTGCCCAGGCCTAGAAAGCACTGTCTGTCCCACTGTGAGGCCATGAAGCTCCCTGTGCACAGTCTACCCTCCTCCCCTCGTCTCTGCTAGCGCTTCTGCTGTCATAGAGCCTCATGGGGCTCTGCTGGGTTTTGCTGTATTTTTTGTAAGTTGTTCTCAAGGGTGACTTGGCTTCCCAGGTAGATCTGCAGTTCCCTGAGGGCAAGGACTAAGGTGACAGTGAATTTCTGGGCAAGGAGGTGCACCCCTCTGATCCTAGAACTGTGGGAGACTGAGGCAGAAGGAGCATAAGTTTGAGCCAGGCCTGAGCAATGTGGTGAGACCTTGTCTCAAAACAATAAATGGGCTGTGGGTATGCAGAGGCCCTGGGTTCAAATAGAAAAAATATGGAGGAAAGTGCCTTCCATATAAAATCTAGTAAATGTGAGCTGAAGTAAGGATTTAAGAACTGAAGTCTTTTCAAACAGGTAGTTACATGAAACAAGAGAAAAGGAAATGGATTGTGATGGCTCTGCAGAATAAAACTGTCTCTTCCAAAGTAGGGATGTAGTTCAGTGCTAGAGCACTTTCCTAGCATATGCAAGGCCTTGGGTTTAATTCACAGCACAGCACAGCACAGCACAGCACAGCACAGCACAGCACAACACAACACAACAAAACCACCTTTCTGGGGCTGGGGAGATGGCTCAGTAGAATAAGTGCTTGCCTGGCAAGCACACAGGCCTGAGTTCAATCCCCGGTTCTGCCAAAAATAAAAAATAAAAAATAAAAACCTTTCTCAGGAGCCAGACATTGTGGCTCGTGCCTATAATTGCAGCTATTGCAGAAGCTGAGGCAGGAGAATATGGACAGTACAGCAAGAGCCTGGATGATATAGCAAGACTCCATCTCAAAATAAAGAAAAAATTTAAAAATATTTACAAGTTTTAAAAATGAATCTGTATCATCAGCTACAGCAGGTATATTCAACATATACCCTAGGGGGCCCATGGGAACCTGGACAGCTAGAAATATAGCCTCACAAGTTCATAAACTTTTAACATTATTATGTGGTTGTTAGCCATATTTTTAATGACTCAGTGGCCCAGTAATTAAGCACAACTTCAGAGCCCATGGCAGGACACTGTAGAGGAGGACCCAGTGCAGTGCTGACCGTTTCCTGTGTCTGCTCTTCACTCAGGGGAATCAAAACCCATGTGCATCAGGTGATACATGGCCTGCCAGGACTTGGCAAGCAAACAAATGATTTCTGTTAATAGCCTTTCCATCCACCACACCTGTGTGTCCCTGGACAGATGAGTATTTATTGTCATGAGGCACATATACACCAGGCACAGCCGTGCACCCTGTAGAGGTTGAAGCAGGACAGGAAGTTCCAGTCCAGCTGGGCAACTTAGCAACTTGGTGAGACCCTGTCTCAAAATAAATATAGGGAGAAATAAGTGGGCTGGTTGTGTAGTTCAGTGCAAAGGCCCTGGGTTCAATCCCCAGTATCATAAAGAGAGAAATAGATGAGTAAATGAAGAGACAGACATGTAAGTATCCTTATTTAATTGTTAAACTTGACCTTGTGGTGTTCTTTTGTAAAGTAATCAGTGTAGTTTTTTAGCAGCTGTGGCATAGGAAGTACAAAAATGTATCAGAGACTTAATGTTATAATTACTTGTACATCACTAACCCTAGAAAAATAAATGGTTCATTATTTTCAGAGTGTATACAGTTACAACCAGATATTCCTGTCCCTTCCTAGCACAAAGACCTCTCGGCAGAGAGAAATAGCCCTCATTTGACGTCATGTCTCCCTCCCCTGTCATACCTTATTGGTGTCATTGCTTATTGGCTGTATGAACATTTATGAACAACTGGAGAAATGAAACACATGGAGAATGAAAAGATCAGAAAATGTATGGCAAAAGGGCTGGCCAAATAGCTCAGCAGATTAAAGCGCCTGCAAGCAGGTGCAGGGGTTGGGGTTTTGTTCCCCGGGTTGCTTTGCCGGCTTCCCCCCCGGTGTCCGCTGAGATGGCACCTGAGATTGAGCGTGGTGGCACACACCTGGAATCCGAGCTCTTGGGATGCTGTAAACAGGCGGATCCCTATGAGTCCGATCTTGTAGTGAGACCCTGAACACCCTGTAGACCCTTCCCTAAAATACAAAAGAAAATGTATGGTAAGCACTTGAGAGGTCCTCAGGACTTGCTGCCATTTGTACTGACCCAGACATCAATGCATTTGTTTTACAAAAATGAAGTTAAAAGTCTAGATTTTTTTTAATGCTACCCTTTTAACATATTAAAATAGTAAAAATAAAGAAAATCTGATTACATATGCCCATTAAATGCATTATATATTTCCATGCAGCCCATGGTAGCACTTCTTCACTCACTGGGCCTGCACAAGCCTGAAGGTTGAATACCCCTGCTCTAAAGTGAGGAATCCTGCCTTGCTCAGGAGCCAGAGCCTAAGGTACCCACTGCTCGGTGCTCAGATTCCTGTGTGGCCTGGGCCAGGACGTAACTTCTGTCCTCCAAGGTGGCCAAATTCAGGTTCCCCATAAGTTTATGTGCTTATGTCCTTTGCCAGGAGAGCAGCCACATGGTAACCCATTTTTCTCTGACCCCAGTCAGATTTCCCAGAAAAACACCTGTCCCTGTGGAAGATGGCATGAGAACTCTTGGAGTTCCCTACCTCTAGCAATAACCAGACCCCCTTTATTGAGACACCCAGGCTGGCCTCAGACTTGTGTTCTTCCTGCCTCAGCCTCCCAAGTAGTTGAGTTTTGTACGTGTATGTTACTATGCCTAGCTCATACAGGACTGCTGAGATTTTTGTGGTATTTGTAGTATTTGGGTTTGATCTGGGTCCTCATGAGTGCTAGGAAAGTGTTCGAAAACTGAGCTGCTCCCCCACCTTAAGTCCAACCTAACATTTTCATACTGAGAAATCCCAACATGAGTTTTGAGGCGGCATTCAGTCCATAGGTGCCTGGTTGTTTGGTTGGTTTGCTTTTCTGCAACTGGCTACTTTCTAGTCCTGGAAGTTCAAGGACGTGGTGTCACCATCATCTTGACTCCCATGAGAACCTCATAGTGGATATGGTCACACAGGCAAGAGTCGGTGCAGGAGCAAGAGGTGACATCACCAGGCAGGAAGCCATTAAGGCTCTCTAGGGCCCAGGGGAGAGTCCTGGAGAGATAGCACAGGGCTCTGTGTGTCCTCTTCCAGTGCAGTCATATAGGCAGCGCTTAGCTCCCAGCATCATGTGTGAAAATGGATGGAGTATGTCCAGTCACAGAGCACCAGCTCATCCATGATGTCCACAAATTATATTTGAGTTTGACCTTACAGGTGTGGAGCGCCACTGTGGCTGACAGTACTGAGCCTTCAGCACCCTTAGAGGTCAAAATAATTCATCCAGACCCAGTGACCAAACCATAGATCGCATTGCTAGCATGACCTATTTGATGACCTATTTGGCATGAACTGAGACTTGAATACTAAGACTGTTATGAGGGCCAGAGATATAGCTCAGCAGCACAAGTGCCTGCCTGGCAAGTGCAAAGTGCTGAGTTCAGTTCTAAATAGGTACAAAAATAGACTTACGAGGCAGGATGATCCCAGTGCATGCAGGAATATCCCAGGAACTAGGCACAGTCTGAGTCATTCTTTTTTTTTTTTCGGAACCGGGGATTGAACTCAGGTCCTTGCACTTGCCAGGGAAGCACTTATTGTACTGAGCCATCTCCCCTGTTCCTCTGAGTCATTCTTTGTGAGATACAGGATTTGCATCCCAAATGGCCTGAGTTTGCTTTTCAGCACTCAGGGGCTCACTTAGCCTGGATGCATACAGGCCATGTACTGAGCTCAACCCACTGGAGGCCAGCTGATGGAGCTCAGAGGGAACCACTTCCCTAAGCCTCTCAGTAACCTGCAAGTATGATTGGAGTCCTGTCCCAGCCCCTCAGGGATGCAGGATCCAGGCCTCTCTAACAGTGTGAAGCTGAATGCAGACCCTGCTGGAGCCACAGGATACTTGTCTGGGCTCCAGCCCTGGGTAACATCCTCCAAATGACTGACTTGATTGCAGGTCCCACAGGGTTGGGCAGATACAGCAAATAGGTCTGAGGGCTACAGTCCCACCCTAGGGAAAGGAGTCAGCTGAGGGCTGTGGAGAGGGCAGCTCATAGGCGAGACCTTGATTCTAGACCTTCTCTGCCATGGTACTGTGTGACCTGGGCTTATCTGTCTCACCCTGTGCTTCTGTTTCCCTTTCTACTCAAGAGCTGGTCACACCAGATGGCTCCTGCATCCCTTCTTTCTGTCCCAAGTTGGTCCTGTGAACCTTGCTAAAGACAACACTAGTGGCACCAACTGCTGTCTTCCTTCTATCCTTACCCTCACAATGACTGTTCTGGGCTGCGCAAGTGGACAGTGCTCAAGGTTACCCACTGACCATGAAGATACCCACTTCTGGCAGTACTTAGGGAACATCTCAGGACAAACAACCCTAGATACTCAGAGTATTCTAAGGCCTCACCTCTGCTTTGCTTTGCTTTGCATTGTTTTGCACTAAGAATGGAACCCAGGGCTTTTCACAGAGCTACATCCCCAGCCTTTTAAGAAAAATGAAACATTTTAAGTTGCTAAGTTGCCCAGGCCAGGCTCACATTTGTGCCAGCACAACTGCTTCAGCATTTTCTTAAATCTCCTCAGGGCAGGGGCCTCCCCAGCTCATAGCATTCCTGGGACCGTGATCTGCCACCTGACACTGAGTCAGAAGGCCACCAGGGCCCTATGGGCCACTGCATAGTATCCACTAAGGTGACAGGCCTTCCTTCACTAAGGTCAAGTAGTGTCCCTGAAGCTGTCAGGAAAAAGTATGAATGCAGGCCGATGGAGTTTGGGCAGCTTCTAAGGTGCTGAGAGAAGGCACTAGGCCATTAGAAATGGCTACTTGAGTTTACTGGATCCGTTCACTGGAGGGCTCCATCCTCTGGGTCTTCCTGCATGTTAAATGTAAAACCAAGTGAGCTTTATGAGTCCTTCCTTGGGAGAAACCTTTTCCCAGAACCAGGTACCCTCCGATGCCTGGTGAAATCCTTTAGCTGTGATAAAATATGTGAGAGGTTCAAGAGATGCCAAGCAGGATAAACTCCAAGAGAGCAACACCACTGAAAATAGTTGTCAAAAGGCAGAATTTTAAAGGAGCAACAAGGAAGCAGCTGTTTGTGGACATAAGATTGTAAATAATGTTAGTATTGACTTCTAATAACCTCAGAGGTGAGAACGCAGAGGCTGCCATGTACACACAGGTTCCCTGTCTCCTGCCATGTGACACATCAGGACTCTGCCAGCAAGAGCACCTTTACCAGATAGAAGCCCTTAAACTCCAATACCAAAAGCCCAAATAAATGCCTTGTGTATAAAGTTGCTGGTCTTGGGTACTTTGTTATAGTAACTGCCTAACTGCAGACATGGATAAGACTGGTGGAGAGCCTCAGCTCTGCTCCCCCTCATCACCAGGGCCTCCCACAGAGACAGGTGGCAAAGGCCCCAAGGAACAAGCAGGTGGGGCGGGAGAAGGGCAAGCACTCTGTGGATAACATATGTGCCACAGTGGGGAGTGGGCTTCATGGGAGAGGCGGTGGGTAGGGTCACATCACACTATGCTTCTGGCTGTGGAGTATGAGGGAGAGACTGGGACAGCTCTCCATCCATCATCACCACCACCCTCGATGCCCCAAGGTCAGCACCTAGGCGACTGCTAGATCTGCCCTGCGCTGTCCCTTCCCTCTACCCTCTGTGAGCAGAGGGGCTGTGCCAGGTGTTGTAGGAGATACTTCCAGGTCCTCGTCTCTATCCAAGAAGCCAATATTTGTAATCCCAAAGTTACGTTATTGGAATCCCATCAAATTGATTCCAATCTACCACTTACAATGCAACCCACGGCGAAAATAAAGACACTAAATTATATCTTCAATCATTGGGGAGTCAAGGGGCTCTTAAGTCCAGCCATGAAGATGGCTTTCTGGAACCAAGAGAGCGACGCAGGGCCTCACCCAGTTTTATTCAGTGGGGGAGTGACTTGAGGATTGACTGAGAACTGTGGGAAAGAGACTACTATGAGCTGAGCTAGGTGGGTGGCCTACATTTACCTCTGCCATATGCAGAGAGGATATGCAGAGAGAGTAATCTGCATTAT